GTCGCTCAGGAAAGCCAAAGTTCTCTACCAGTCGGTCGGTCTGAGGCCGGGCAGGAGGAGCCCGAGGGTGGAGAGGGAGCTGGTGCAGATGGGAGGTCGCCAGGTGCCTGTAGTCCACAACTACGGCCACGGAGGCTGGGGGGTGTCGTTTTCCTGGGGGACCAGCCTGGATGCGCTGGGGCTGGTCAGGCAGTGCCTTCAGGAAATTCCTCTTCAGGCTAAACTGTGAACAAACTCTGCCACTAGATGCTGCTTTAACTCAGAGCCTTAAAATCACAACATATGGAAAGTCAACATATTGACAAATGAACGCATTAAAATGCACAAAAGTAATGACTTGTTGTAGATTTTACATTTAACAGTGTTTAGATGATAAAATAATAATTTAATGTGCTGCTTAAAGTGGTAATTTTTTAATTTTTTTTTTTATTGGGGCTTGTTATGAAGGAATGCCATCAAAAACGCTGCTTTTTCATTTCTGATACCAGTTACTTTTGGGTACTGAAATCTACCTTCAAATGGATGCACTTTTATAAACATCATTAAGACTAGCACAGAGATTAACAGCCTCTAATGCATTTTTTGTAGAGTGCATAGAAAAGAAAGTTTATTAATAACATTTACAAACAGGAAAATACATAAATTACATAAAGAAACTGCTGTCAGACAGTCCGTTGTTAAATGTAACAGAAATTATTCTTTGTGTGGAATAAAAATGTTCAACCACAAAATTGCCATATTTTCTGTCAAAACTTCTGTTTACTTTTTAAAATACACAAGGATATTTTCCAGTGCTTTTTCTGTTGCTGCTTCAGATGTATTTCAATATTTTTTTCTCTATTTTTTTCCTCTCAGCTGCAATGCTTTGTCCTGGAAACATACATTTTATTCATCTATTAATCACCAGATATTTTATTAAACATATTAAACATAGCTCCGTCCTCATATTACATGAGATATCACATACAATACCCTGAAACAACAGCACCTTTATTACATTTAGCCATCATTTATTGTCTGATTTAAACCTTTATACCTGTGAATAGGCCTGTCGTCACTAATGCAGAGACTATATATACTTATAAACAGATAAAAATATGGTTTAGGACCTGCTATGGTGAAAATCAAGTTTCTTTTACCTTGTTTACATGTCAATATGGTTTTAGAAGATATATCATTAGCAAAATGTGCAGTCGATGCAATGACAGAGCGATTCTGCACTGAAACTGCAGTGTATGAATGACAGCAACAAGTCATTTATTGATGAAGGTTTTGCTTTGATGAAATCGTCAGTCCATAAACATGGTTTAAATTGTAGCTACATCTCAGAAAGAAAGTTTTATGATGCACCGCGATCTTTACAGCTGCTTTTCAGTTACATGGTTACATTTCGGAAATATTTGGTTATCTGGAAAAACACTGTATTTCAATCATCCTGAAAAAAAACAGAGTCAATACCTAACAGCAACAATCAGCAGCTGTAAAGTGACACCTTACTTCGCTTCTGAGGTCAGGCCAGAAACTGGCTCCTGTTTCAGATCGTGACTCTGTAACTGGAGTCCTTTCACATTTACACAGTTGACGGATATCTTTACATTTCTTCTCATTTTCAGCCGGCGGGCTTCAGAGGCGGCTGAAACTGAACGACGCTTGTTTTCCTCTGAAGAGATGTGATCTGTGCAGTCAGGCCTGCAGGTAGTTTCTGTTTGTGAGAGCTCTCGGTGTGGGTTTGGTGAAGAAGGTGCAGCTACGTGATGCTTTGACTTGTCTGCCTGGACCGTGGGCGGCGGCTCGAGGTTTGTGCTCTGCGTCGTTTCTGCCTCTTTAGGGGCGAACACTTTGTCTGTGTTTGAAGTGCTGCACACGGCATTGCATGATGTCTGGGAGGATGGAAATGTGGTTGTAAACTGTTTTCGAGGGTTTTCCGTGTGCTGCGTGCTATCCTCAGTCTTTGTGTTGAGATTCCAGTCTTTAAGGTTGAGGAGTTTGCTCTTCTGCTCTTTGTGGAAGGTCTTCAGGGAGGAGCAGCGCCGCAGCAGATTCGGCGCTGTGATTCTTCTCAGCTCCACGCAGCTTTGACTCCTGGGAATATGACCTTCTGCTGAGCTTAATAGTCTTAAGCTGTTCTTAGGGGGTCTACGTGGCAGTAGGACACATGGCAGGTGCTTGGGTTTACCCTCGAGTAAAGTCTTACTGGGGCAGGTGGAGGTCAAGGACTGGGGGAGGACAGGGGACTCTGGGGACGGGAGGTGGCTGGACTGAAAGCCAGACGAGGACCTGCTCATGGCTGAAGGTCTCTTTTTGTCCCTTCCTGAAATAAACAAGTATAGTGTGTGCGGATCATGCAGTGAGCTGAGATATGTCTTGAACACAACAACAGCAGAGGGAAAAAAAATAACAAGTGGCGACTGTGAAAGGAGAGGAGCAGGTTCAGCACAAAAACCTGAATGTGCGCTAAAATGAATGATGAATAAAAGAAAAAGAAGAAAGCAGTCGAGTGTGGTAAAGCATGGAGCAATTTATTCCTCACGCTCAACCATGACAGAAGCACACTTCAGAAAATGCTGAGACTTCAGACCCTAAACCTGCCACACTTCAGTCAGAAGTGGGTTTAACTTTGACCGTGTTACAAATTTTAAGGTTGTCCTACGCCTTCGGCATTTTAGTGCATTTACATTTATACAAAATGCCATATTTCAACAATTATAATTATACTGTTAAGTAAATATTTAAATTCTTCTGCATTACGCAGTTTTCAGGCACATGATAAAATATTGTGCAACATTATATTTTACTGGACTAAAAAAATATACACACAAACAGCAGAATCTTAAGAGAAATCCTATACAAGTGTGGCTGAAGTTGACATTGTTCTCCGACCACGTGACCTTTTGACATTCAGAGCCCTCATTTACAGAAACACTTTGCAGACTGAAGCCAAACCAGATAACCACGGTAACCATAATATAGCTATGAATAAAGCAAGCACTCGCAGTAAATATGTACTGCGATTACTGAGAAAGTTTCTTCTTTTTTTTTTTTTAAACTAATTAAACCTAGAGTTTGTTTAAACACTCTTATCACACATCGGTTCAACAGTCACCAATTTCAGCACGCGGAAAACCACCACACAACTGCAGATCTATTTGTGAGTAGACCTACAAGCTGCTCCACATGTAGATTGTTCGAGGGTGTGAAGAAAAGTCAGTTCAATATGTAGTGAGTTCACTTTCTAGTACTGTAATAGTGTAAAATCTTGTGTTATCGCTGCTCCATTTTGAATGTTATGTTGAGAACTTAATTCTTGTAAAGAAAGGCAAGTAAAGTCAACTCTCCAAAGCACTGAACAGACACAAGCGACTGCAAAACGGTTTCGGTGATGCAGAAACAGAAGAAAGTGTGACTATGAAAAATAGAGCGCCAGGAAGTAAATGTGACAATAGCAGAGTCTTTCCAGAGGAGCATGAAAACTGAGTTTGGTGGCTTGGAATGCTTGAGCATCGAGAAGGACTGGAGACGGCGAGAGTCTTTCTAGAGAAGGATGAGGCAGAAGAGGGCTGAAGAAGAGGACAGTGTTCACAGGCGAGTCAGGCTGTCATTACCATTCTCCAGGTTCTCGTTGCTCTCGTAGCAGCCCGAGTCTCGGGGGGAGTCTCCTAAGAGGCCGCGCCTGTCCAGCAGCAGCTTCTCCTGCGAGCCTCCAGACGGACTGTTTCGCTCGGGGTCGCTGCTCCCTGCAACCACCAACAGGGGGCAGACAGTCACATCTTATGGTCTCAGACAAATACTGCTGTGAAACCAGACACCGTTTATAAAAGATGGATGTGAAAGATGGAACGCAGAAGTAGAAGGTAGATTCTTACGTTGTTGGTTTCACCTCTCATCCAAGGGGGTTTTTCAGTTCTAACTGAATGGAGGGGAGTCCCAGGTATTTATTCTGACCCCCAAATCACATGGTTCATGAACGAATCAAGACTGACATGGGGGATCTCAGAACTGCAATATAAGTATCTAATGAGTGGTGTTGTAGATCCCCTTCTTCGTTTGTAGATGGTTAGTTTAACATCGATCCCTTCCTTAAACACAAACCTGCATTCTCTCTAACAGCCAGCAGGGGGAGATTCCTCTGGTTGCAGAAAGAAGTCTGACTGTATAGAAGTCTATGAGAAAGTAACCCTAATTCTCATTTGAACTGTTACCTCAGTAAACATTTTCCTCATGAGTGTATTGCCCCAGTCGCTAGTTTTAAGCCTTCTTCAATACAACGTGATGTTTATATTTTAAATTATGGTCCCATTTAGGGTAAAATAGCTGTAGCAGGGTATGTTTGTAGGGCGGAGCTACCTAGTAGTTGACTGGCTGCTACCATATCATCATGCATGGTGTGCTCAAGTTCTCATCATGTCCAAGATGGTGAAATTCTAATTCCAAACTTGAGGTTTTAGGATTAGAGTCTACAAACCAATTCGTGACTTCACAGTTGCTACATCCATCTTCTGTAAACAGTCTATGTGTGAAACTCTGTAATTAGCCAAACCTGAAGTACAGCAGTTAAAAACATACAAATTATAGATCATAACCAGAGAGGGAGTCTCTGAGAATCAGTGAGAAACATTTGCTCAAACATCTGCACTGACAGCAGAATCCTACCTTCACCTACACACATATTACAGACATAAACAGTATTTGCAAGGTTGCCAATTAAGCGTTAAGCTTTGTGTAAACCCTGGAATATTCTAACCTTACATTTGATTTGAATTTGCCTGTCATGAGCGTGTTCATCTGACCCACCGTCATACTCCTGCAGCAGCTCCACGGCAGTGAGCAGCACAGCTCTGTGCTGAGGGTCTCTGATGTTCAGCTCATCCAGGTCCTCCTCCTCGAGCAACTTGAACGTGTCCAGATCCTCGTAACCATTGAAAAGGAAGGTGGGAAGATGCTCCTGTGGAGAGGGGAGGATGGATGAGGCACAAAACAGACCAATAAAAATATGTGGGAGGAATTAATTTGATCACACATAACTTGAATCTGTATCTGTGTACTTGTGGATGAAAAATTCAGTGTTCAGCAAGTTTGACATTTTGGATAGGATTGGATTTTGGATTTGCTGACTTGCTGAGTGTGAGATGAAGGCAAGTAAATTAAAGCTTACAAACATGTAATATCTTATTAGAAAAAGAACGTATAAAAAGACAAGTTGTGGACTGAATTTAATGCAGTTAGCCAAGAAAAAAATGAACCACATAAAATCCTCTAAAAGCACAACTTGTCACTGTTACACTTTGTTCTTCTTATGAATTTAACCAACAAGATATATGTTCATTATTGAGCTACTTAGAGAGGTGCAGGTATTCTTAGTTTCTTGGTTCAAGCTTACAACTTAGCAGACAGATACAGGAGTGGCTTCAATTATGTAACTCTCACCAAGAGAGCGAATAACTGCATGTCCCAAAAATGTCAAACTCTTCCTTTTGATGGAGCTAAAACCCATCTCCCACTGGCGTTCCTTTCATCTAACACTCATATCTTTGAGTACACTGAAAATCCCAAAACTGTTTTTGTTTACAACTGTCAAATTAATTCCGATGCGTGTGTCATATAAAATCCCACCTCTGTGTGTGAAACAGGTTTTTAATATGTCACGAGATCATTACTTTGAGGTTGATGCGATCGAGTAGCTCCTCCACAGAGGTGGGTTTGGGTTGCCGGGCCTTCCTCCTCCTGCGTGTCTTTTTGGGCTTCACCTCCTCTTCATTCAGAACATCCACATAGATGAACTTGAAGGTGCCGACTTTGCCGTTGAGCATCCCCATCCACGTTCCCATCGGAGGCTTGCTGATGATGTCGATGACATCTCCGCTCTGCAAAACCACACCAGTGACGCTTGAGGTTCTTTTGAAAACCTAAGCTCATCTCTGCGTAGTGTGTGATTTAATGTAGCGTACCTTCAATTTGAGGGAGTCGGTGTCGTATGGACTTGGGGTGAAGTCGGTGTGAACCAGAGCTCGTCCACAGAAGGGTCCACGGTAAGGCAGCTCATCTTCCTCTCCATCCTCAGACTTCACGCTCTCTCTGTTGCTGTTGGAGGAATCAGTGGTGCCCACTGTCTGACCGCCTACACAAATACCAAAAGAACAGATCCTTTATGTGTTTTTTTAACCTGACCGAAGTGTCAGAAGTTAACAGTTTTCCGCACAGATGAATATGGCGAGACCAGAACGTTTAGACTATCTCAAAGGCGATTTAAAGTCCTTCAAACACGTGTACGATAAACACCGCACATCTGGTGTTCCAAGGACAAGCTAAAACAAACACTGGGGATTATTTGCACGTACACCCAGATCTGTAAAGACTTACTCATGGAACTTTGTCCGCTGAGGGAGCTCCTCAGGCTTTCCACAGAGCCTCCTGGCTTCAGTTTGGGTTTCTCCAAAGAGTCAGAGTCTGTCGGAGGCGAGTGAGGGCAGCTGGATAGTCGGTCTGGGCTTGACTAAGACACAGAAGGAAAAAACAATGATAAAACATGCTTCACAGTCATCACAACATCACCACAACGTACAATCTGCAACAGTAACGCAGATAAACGCTTCTAAAACCTACCTGTTCCGAGAGAGAACAGTGGTATCTCTTGGATATGTGTTTTCTCATCGTCTCTCTCACAGACTTGACTTTTTTGCCCAGAGAAATACGGGACATCGTCGGAGACTTAACGCCATCTCTCACACCGCCTTCTCCATCTTTGTTCTAATTTACATGCACACAGAAAAATAAAAAATAAAAAATAAAAAAAAAACAGAAAAAAAACAGAAGCAAATAAGTAAACAAAGTTAAACAGTGTAATTGTTTGACTGAGTTCAGGTAGAATAGTAGTTACATACAATGTTATCATTGTCAGAGATGACAGCGTGCCCTGAGCGGTTGGTCAGGTCAAATCCTCCAAAGCTACAAGCTCTCTGTGGAAAAAAACAAAGTGAAATAAAAAGAGGCGAGATTTTAGAGCATGACTCCAGATATCACTGGAGGAACTGCAGCTTGAGCTTCAGTTCTGTCCATAATTTTGGCTACAATTTGAGTTTTTGTTGAAGAATAAGTTTCAGTTAGGACATATCAGCAGCAAGATTAGATGACCAATTTGTGGAACTTGACTGTTACGAAGAAAATGATTGACTATATTATAGAAAAAGTACATGAGAGTCTCCATTAGTTACTGAAGCAGTCACGTATCAGTCTACAATACAGGTGCTGAAACAAAACATGCAGGCTGGTTTTGCAGAATGCTGATCAGTATCAGTTTAGTTTGGCATTGATGTGACATCTGCAGGGAATTTTTACATACAAAACATAATGTCTGGGCAGGGAGGGAAAACAACTAAACATATCTCAAAGAAGAAACAAACCAGACAAGAAAAATGGAGACAAATCTCAGGAACTGTTTTTAAACAGGAAAGTTTTTCATGACAGCTGGTTTTGGACATGTGTCATGCTGTCCAGAGGGGAAGACAATGAAAAAAGCAGAAACACTTTATCAGTTATGTGAGTTAAATGTTTGCTCATGACTGAACTTATTCTAAAAAGCTGTTTCCATCTCCCGTTATGTGCTTTAACTCTCTTACAATAAAGGCAAAAACCACCCGTAACAATGTGAAGTTTTGGGGAAGCGTTGTCGAATTTTGTCGTTTCCATTAACTTCCTTTAATGCAGTCAACCTCAAAATACATATAAAAACATGTTATGGAAACATATGTTCTGTTTCAAAGGAGTGCAACTGAGAGTATTGAAGGATGGTACTAACACTGGACGTGAAAAGACAGTGGAATATGTAAAGACACTGGATGTTTTTCAGCGTACACACAATGGACAGCTAGAGGACTGTGAGGAGACATTCGCTGAATTTGACAAAGTGTATTGCAATAGAATAGCTGAGTTTATCTTTAATTTTGCACAACAGACCACTGTTAACAATGAACAACTTGTCAAACTGCAGTCCTTCTTCAAAGGCTCCTCTGTACTCACCCCGTGGTGGCTGAGTGGGTTGAGGACCCGGTTACGAAGCTCCCCGTCGGTCACTGATCGTGCAATTGCGGGTTCCTCCTCATTGCAACCCTCCATTTCAGAAACAGAGGAGCCACTGCCCTCAGCCGCCTCCTTCACATCTGCTGCTGCCACACCGGTCTGCTGGTGAACAGGACTCCCGCTAGACTTGCTTAAGGCCTGGAAGATCTTCTGGCTGCTGCAGGTGTCCAGGCTGCTGGATGAAGGGGAGGTGGTCAGGCTGTCTGAGTCCCTGTCGTAGGTAAGTTGTTCCTGCAGAGCTGAAGCCAGCGAGTCCACGGGACAAACTACAGGCTTCCTCTGCACTCCCGAATACAGAGGGAGGCTGGCATCTCCGCAGGGAAGATCTACATTCAGGCTCTCTGGGCGGGAAGAGAGAGAAAAGAGGGGATTAGCATGCAATAAAATAACACTAATATGAGATTACTTGTGTTGTGAATTGAAGACGCATTACTCAAATTGAATTACTATCTGCAGATTTCTAGCAAATATCAGCTCCAGTAGTCAAGTCAGGCCAACACTAGGACATCTCTAACCATCATTCCATTTTTTTTAAAGTTTTGTTGCAGTTCCTCATTGTTTACCTGCTGTTTCAGATGTGTTTACAACCTGCTAAGAAAAATGTACCGGCCAAACACTGAAAACCTTTATGTTTGGAAAGCAATCAAACTGTAATCACGCAGACAAAGATTGGGGGAAAAATAAAGTGAGTGTTCTTCAAACCATTTACTCTGCACCAAGTGAAAACACACAGTAACTACTGTTATCACAGCACGTACGCTTAGTCAAACAGTAATTAGATTCAGCACAATTACTGATATTTTCTCGAGAATCTACGTCACATTCAGCATTGCGGTTTCCCAGGTGCACTATTTCCTCATAATACACGGTCTGCTCTTACTGCAAAGACCAAAATACCTGGGAATTTGATTTGCATAAAAACCGCAACCTGTCTCGCGTGTTTTATTGTGCAGCATCCCATAAAACGACAATGAAAATCCAAATAATGCATCAGTTTCTGCAAAGACTTTGACGTCTGCCATGTGCGCTTTGTTTGATATTTTCTGACAGTGGTTTCAGTACCCTCTGCTCCAGGCCTCTTAGCCTCATCAATTCTGATCAGCTTCTTCTTCACTTTCCGAGTTGAGTTGACCAGTTTGTGGAGCCTCCTGAACGTCACGGATTCCTCTTGTTCGTTGTCTGACAGGTCGCAGGGCTGACAGGAGAGATCGGTAAGAATTCATAAAACATTTAACCTCACAACAGAGCTTTGCAGGTAAGCAGCAATGTGGGTCTTTTAACAGCATACACAAGTTCAGAGGCCTAATATTTGCATGTCAGCTGCGTACATGCTGCAGGTGCATGCTGAAACTATTCGTAGCAAGATATACTTATGTGGTAGGAAACCACAGCAGTGACTGTGAGGACAGCGAGCACGGACTCATAACAGACTACAAAAGATTTTCTATTCGTGGGAAAACAAAAAGCACGTTGCCTGGAAATCACCTTCAACGAAACAAAATAAAAACGTCAGTGGTGCACTTGAAGAAAAAAGGTCATACGTGCTGAAGATTTATACGCTGACCAAAACATTAGCAGCTTCCCAAAATACACATCAAAAGAGAAAATGAAAGCAGATTATACAGCAGAAACTCAAGAAGAAACGCTCTATAATTAACAAAAGATCAACAGGGGAGGAGATGCATCATACAAATATGCAAAAAGAGAAAGTGAGAGGCGAATGCACACAGAGCAAAGAGAAATAGTCAGGCCATCCAGACGAATCTGAAAAATGTGCCCTGAAGCTGAGCCCCCTAATCACCCCACCCATGCATAAAGAGCTGCGGCCTGCATAACAGGGCCCTGTGCTGAATCCACCCGCTCACTGCAGCACAATAGGGGGTTAGCGCTTTGACAGCGATGAATAGAAGTCCGCCCAGTGCCCTGCAGTTGGGAGAGGGCCCTGAGCTGCTGGGCTTTAGAGGGGCCCCGGTTCACTGCCGGGACATGGACAGAGCGAAAGAGAGAGGCACTGTCAACAGCTCAGCAGCCTTGGCACTGGCAGATCAGAGGCCCTCACGCAACAACACACTGCCTGGAGTCGTGATTCAGCATTAAAAAGCAACTAAGATGCCCTCGGAGCTCAGAGACTTACGTTGCAGCCGAGCGACTCGTTTGTGTTGGGGCCGCAGGGGTCGGTCCACTCCGTGAGATCGGGCTTGCATGTTTGTCTGTTTTGTACTTCAAACTCCTTCAGCTGCAAAAAGAGGATGACCCTGTTAGTTAATGATGCATGCGTAGAGTACACTATGTGTAATCTACCAGCTGATCCACTATTTAATTCCTGAACAGCTGGGAAATATGACACTAGTATTTTTTTTCCCCATGCAGATAAACTGTGATTTGACCATATGCCAACATCAGAATGTTACTACGTCCAAAAAAATTAAATGTAGTTGAATATATCATGTAGTAAACAGACAACCTTGACTGATCATTTCTATTTCTTGTAATACATCCAAGATTTGCTCACATTGTCCTACATTCTGATGATGCCTTTATGCAGTCTATCCAAAACAAATGTTCAAAGGGGTTTTGAAGAAATAATCAGAATTCTTGATTGAACAGCAATGTGTTTTTTTTTGAAAGGAACTCAACTTAAAGCACTGCAATTAGTTTACTTTTTCAAAGAAAATTCTGAAAATCACAGAAAAAGAGATAAATACAGCAGTAAAATCAGGTTAAGTGGGATGCCGTATATCGTACCCGTGCCAGGGCTTCCTCTATAGAGATCATATTCTCCTTCACCATCATCATCAGCTGAATACGTTCCTCGTCACTCATGGTGATTTCGCTGGCCACGAAACCGACATCATCACCTGCAAAAAGTCGAAACAAAAAGTTTTACTATACCATCCTGACAAACTCCAAGAGCGTCGAATAATAAAAACACAGAAGTATGTGGCTGAATAACTCCTTTACACAGAAATGCCACATGAATTCGTGTTTATTTGACGCACCTTTAGAAATCTGACGCATCACTCCCTTCTGTGACTTTCGGAAATTCTGCCAAAAAGACTTGCTCTTTCTCTTTCCATCCCATTTTCCTGTTAAATGCAATCAGTTTATTTTAACACAAAGGGAAAAACTAAATCTGAAACAGTATAAACACAAAATTAAACGCATATATTCACACGACTGTTAAACGATAAGTATTGTTCTATACATTTTGCCAAAATACAAAAGTAAAAGCAGATTTAAAAAAATTTTTTTATAAAGGACTGACTTTCTATTTACTGTAAACGCAATTGTTAAAGAAGAAATATCTTTTCTGTAAGGTTCATTGTTGCGTAATTAATCTAGAATAAAACATGCAAAACATTAAAAACACCAATATGTCAGTAAAACTTCAACTTTACCTCCTGATCCATCATCCGAGCTGGATTTGTGCACAGGAAACCTAAAAAATCGAACAACAACATTAGCTTCACTTGAAGAGCTTCAATGAGGATTCAAACCCTCGGACAGAGCAGTACCTGTTATCCAAAGTTATTTTCTTCATTTTCCCTGCTATCTCATCATCTCCCTCATCAAGTGTGTCGTGCGTCAGATTAACAAAAAAAAAAAAAAAGAAAAAAAAAAGAAGCAGTATCACAAAAGCTCACTGTGCCTCATGACAGCAGCGTCGCAGTAAAGCAGAAATCAAAGTAGTGAAAGCAGATGAAACAGACTGACTGCTCTTGGCTGATGAACAGAGGTCAGCGCTCTGCAGCCATCGCTGGAACAATAGAGCCTTTTTCTGATCTGGTTGGGGTTTTGCAGCAGCAGCAGCAGCGCTAACGTGGTCTCTGCATTCTCTGCACACTTTCACCCTCCCTCTTTCTGTCTGTCTGTCTGTCTGTCTGTCTGTCTGAACTGGTTGTTGTGTTCGTCTGTCTTTCTCACAGTCTCTCTCTCCCTCAGATGACACTTGTTTCTGGTTCATCAGTGTTTTACTTTGACAGCAGATCAGATCTCATTTGGGTTTAAGTTTCCTCGCTGATCACAGATACATGACCAGTGCAACACAAGTTAACTTTTTATTAATTAACTGAATTGTCTTCTGGTTTGTCTTTTACAACAGTATATTTGAAGAGATGTGGTTTATCACCTTGCTTTAAAGAACAGTTAACTAAATTATAAGACATATGTGATGTCTCAAGTGTATTAAATGCATATATTTCAGCTTGATGACAGCCCAAAGATTCATCTTGGCTTATTTTTTTCCCCCAAACACCAGGAAACAGATGAAAGTAAAGATGATTTTATACACATATTTCACAGCACCAGCAGAACAGCATGATACTGAAGCTGTGGGTGTAAGTTTTGCTTGAACATCAGGAGGAAACACAGCAAGCAGGTAAACTTGAGGTCCTATTATTCTTGCATTCTGAGAAATTTTTATGCTTCAATTTGTGCTTTTTCTACATAAATTTATGGCAAAATGTCAATTTATGTAAAGGAAAAAAACAAAGGTTCTAGGTGATGTTTCAAAAATATACAAGAACATAAAGCAGTAAATCTCTTAGAAATTTTGCAGTGCTGTAATTCATTGTCCTGTTCGTGGGGGGCAAATGCATGTGTTGCAGGTGATTTAACTCCTGTATCGCCTCTAAAATCTACGTCTGTGACTCAAACTATGGATTGCATTTAGCGTTATAGAGTGAAACGTCATCGTAGTTTTCCCTCTTCCACGTTTTACCATAAAAACTATACGGGAGACAAAATATACACATTTTTGGCTGAAAGATTAAAAGCTCCAAATCACATTCTTTTTTTCTGTGGCTCTCAAAAAGGCTTCACAAGATCTGATTTACTACATCCCATGACATGAAGACACTTTATTGATGAGCCAGGTTAACAAAACAACGATTAGGTGTAATCTTTATAAAATATTCTTATCCTGTAAAGTCACATAGCTATGTTAATGGGTTCCTGTCATGCTTTGTTCTGTCGCGGCTGGTGGCCAGCTGACTTTTGCGATCAGCTGATTGCCAAATCGAGGCGAAAGAGTGAAGCACTGGGAGTCTGTAGGAAACTTCTTAGATTAAAGTGCATCACAAATGGATATTTGTGGAAATAGCTGAAAGCCAGAGAAACAGGGATTATGCATGGAGGAGGATCATCCAGCGACAAATCTGCCAAACCAGTGGGATCTTTTTTCTTTTCTGTTGCTGGGCTATTTTACATTAAACCGATCACAGACTTTTTGCCTCATTGCAGCTACAATGTGGAATACTTTGCTTCTGCAGTTGGACCATTTGGACTCCCTATTTCTGTACAAATTGTGCAGACTTTTAGGTTTCCTATTTTTGTTTTGAATCTGTATGTATGTGAGCGTGCAGTTGCTGCTGAGACACTGTGTGTGCTAATGTGTATTTGGGTTTGATTGTAAATATTCTGGACATAGACTTTAAAACATTATCAACATTTTGCCTTGTCTTTACTTGTTTGCAAAGAGACTAAACACAATGAAAAGGAAACACATCAATTGCTTCTTAAACGATAATCACCCTGTGTGTTTGGTAATAATCAATACGCACATCGCCGATCGTTAGAGCTCTGCCACAAAAATCATCCAGAAAAAGTGGTGTGTTTATTTGTGGGATCCTAAAGAAAACATAACTAAAGGAAAATTTTTAAAAAGTGCAAAAATAATGGGATTGGTTTCCAAAAAGTGATGCTACTTTCTGTTTCTGGCCTCCATCAGTCCCCTCTGGGGTTACTTCTAACGTTATGTAATGACACCACTAGGGGGCAGTGCAACTTTCCTGTTCAAACACATGAGTAACAGATGGAGGTTTTTTTTTATTTGTACCTCTATGTGCCCATTCACACTGATAATTAACTCCTGAAACACTGGGATATTGCTCAAGTTTCGAGCCACTGTCTGTCTCTTTAACAGACGTAATCAAATCAATATGCTGCTTTTTCGTTAGTCACCACCTAAAGTCTTTCATCTTATTCAGTTTTTCAATGACAAAATATGACTAATCCTCAAAATCCTTCAAAAGAGACAATGGAGGGAAGGAAGGAAGTTCAGAGGTGAGACAGAAATGCTTCATAAATGTGATGCGTGGGGCAGCAGGAAACGGAGGAAATGCACGTGTCTATGGAAGTGATGGATATACTACAGGAAAGGTAATCGCAGCTTAGCTTCCAGAGGTGATGTGACTTAAATAAGTTCTAACTAAGACACAATCTAGAGGAAATAATAGTCCCAGCCATGTTTATTAGCCTATAAATCCTTGTACTTGCAGATGCTTCGCCTAATTATGGAAACTGTGTCCAAAAATACATTGAATGCATCCATTTTTCAACACAGATTGTTATTGTATTTATTTTTACCTTCTCTCGGTCTCTGGAGTCGATGTAGTACTGCTGAGTCCCAGGGATTCCTTAAGGAGATTGAAAAATGTGAATGTAAACATGTACGGTGCAGCAGCAACGCTCTCATTTACTGAGCTGTTTAAAGTTCGCACTTTCCCAAACAACCGGGGGGGATTTAATTACGAGGCTTTCCTTTAAAGTGTGGCAGGAAAATTACATACCTGATGGAATTAGCTTATGTGGAGTGTAATTAGGAAGTTCAGGTAGTAAATTTTGTGGCAAGAAAAAAATTCCACTTATCCTACTTCACCATATTTTAGAAGCTTTTTTCCCAAACATTAAACAACATTCTCAAGGCCACTTCGCTGCCGCATTCTGGGTCAAATGTGAATCTGTGGTCTCCTGCGTTGCTTTTTTGTGCTAGACAATCATGACAAGGCCATTCCTCTGCCTCTTATCAGCCTGTCTGCTGACGCACAGAGGAGGAAGTTGCCTCCTCACGGGGTTTGACACACTGAGAGTCGGACACTCACCTGGATCTGAGAGCGGAGCTGCAGTGATGTGGCCACTGAGTCAATCTTTCCCTGAAACACATGAGCAGGGGAAGCGGAGGAGTAAATTATAGAGTCATCACATAAATCTAGACATAATATTCATCTGACTGAATCAGCCAGTCCACATTAAGGGACAATTAAATTATGCGTCAGTGGTTGTGATCTCTGCCGCTAACTGGTGTTTGAACGTATCTGAATTTCATAAACTGACTTTGAGGAAACACTTAAACAAAAATTATTTTTGTAACTTAATATTTTCATTTACAACATCAGTAAATGTTCAGCATGACATAAAGTAATGTTTACATCTGTACTCCACAAGCAAATTAAAGGCTACGTAAGGTTGAAACCAAACAGACACTTAACACAACATGAAGTGAAAACCAGGACCCACAAGTTAAAGGAACAGTTGGGAAATGTGTCTATTTCGCTTTCATGCTGAGAGTTTGATGAGAAAAACAAGGGTGGGACAGAGTTAGGTAGCTGTTTCCAGTATTTATGCTAAGCTAAGCTAACCAGCAGATATGAGAGTGGCATTAATTCCTGTGCATAACATATCTTTGGTGCGTCCCAAAAACATTTTATCCAGCATCAAAATGATTTTAAAAAAACTGAATTAAAAAAAACAACAACTAATATTTAGATGGTACTATTAATTAGGTTTTAATTTACTAAGACATAATATACATTTAACGGTCCACAAAAGGCTACATAAGGTTAAAACCAACCAGACACTTAACACAACACGAAGGAAATTTGTGTATTCGCTCTAATGTTGACGGTTAGATGTGAAAAAACACCTTCAGACAGAGCTCGTTAGCAATTTCCATTATTCATGCTAAGCTAAGCTCCCCAGTTGCTGGTTGGAACTTCATACAGAAATGGCAGCTATAAGAATGACATCAATTTCTGCGTAGATTGTAATGTTGGCACCTTCCAAAGACGTTTTAATACAGCACCAAATGAAAATCAGCAGGTTTAAAATAAAAAGTACAATTTTTAAAAGTAGTTTTGGAAACTGGAGTTTCATTTACTCATGCATAGGAGACATTTCTGTTCCGAAATTGGTGAGAAATTGCAGGAAAATGCATAGATTTCTGTCAACTATGCTGATGGACAGAGATATTATGCTTACTGTCATGCTTTGTCACCCCCGAAAGGCCATTTCTGAGCCAGCAAAAACCTACGATATGCCTCAAGAATGTAAATAATCATGTTTCCAAAAATATAAAATTCTTCCTGTAAGTGTGTGATAAAACTGGCAATGCAACAGCAGAAATAACCCCAATGATGAGTGCTGAAGTGACAAGAAAAAGACCGATAAGGCTGTTTACCATCTCTGAGTCCTGCACTACTTTGCGTTTCCGTAACTCCTCCATCCTTTCACACACGTCGCTGAGGGAGGTGCCGTAATACTGCGAGTACTCCTGAGCCAGGTCATCAAAGTTCCCCACCGAGCCATCCTGCAAGAGATAAAGAGGCATTCAAACACTCTCAAGAGATATGGGGAGGAAAACGACACCCCGCGGAGGCAGAGCAAGATGCCACACAGCAGGCAAACACTGTAAACACTGACCACTGTCGATGATAAGCCATTGTTTGAATCTTTAGCGCTGTCACCTTCAACACAAGCGGCCAGGAAACACTGAGATAAAGCACCAGGAGAGCAAAAGCATCAGAGACACCCAGCTGTGATATTGCCTCTGTCTTTGCCGGGCTGGTTGTTGTCTTCCTGCCCGGTGACCCCGTCCACCTCCTCAGACGTGACCCCCCGGCCTGAAGAGGCACCGAGTGACGCAGCCACGACGCTCGACCTGCTCTCACAGTCAGCAGGACTTGAATGGAGAGGCCACGGTTCAGTCCACCGTAAATCACAAGGAGTCGAGTCACTCGGTCCGAAGAGTTTTTGTCCTGAGACGCAGCACGTTCTCCGGGATGTAACCCCCTTTTTTTTTAAGTTTCCTACTATTGTAAAAACTGAACGTTCCGTCCCGCGTGGGAGGAATACAAATCACAGAATTTTTGCTGAGTTTTTATGATCCCATGACTTTTGGGACCAGAAACAACACATGGGGGCGGTTTCCCTGTCAGGGCAATAATCCTACATCTAGAATAAAGAGGCATTTTAAACCAGATGACTTCAGCGGTCTGTAATTAAAGACACATTGGATGATTCTGCAAATTTCACTCAAGGACAATCAAAGTGGTTCTTGTTATGAATCACAAACTTAACTGATCGAATGTTTTTGACTAAAGCTCCATCTTTTCCAGCCTTTTATCCAGAAAAACACACTCATATGCCACAGTTACATTCCTTAAAGCTGCTGTCTGATGTTTGGTTTTATATCAACACAGCTGATAAAGTGTTCAGTCAAATATAAATGTTTTTAAAAGACGTTTTTCTTTTTAAAAACAGTATTTGTGATGATTAGAGTAGGGTTAAAACTGCAATATTTGTTTTGCCACTTATGCGGAAACAACAAGAAAACACATCAGATTCTTTTTAATAAGATTTTACCTGCATGTCTGGTAATATATCATATTACCCACAATATCATTATTAACATAGCATCACTCACAGACGAGCTGTCAACAACACTGGCTTACTATCACCCTATAAAGTTAAACATGTTAGCAGACAGTTGCCAATTTCTACATTCAGTGGACACAAACCAATATTAACATTAATTTGGAGTTGTGTTTCTGTCTTCCTGATGAGTATAAATACAATATTTGCCCATTAGCAGAGCCCATTACACAACAGTACAATATAACGGGTGTATCAGTATTGGCATATATGTTGTCCTATATGGTGATACAGAAACTTTTTAGGGACTATAATAAAGAAAAAGAAGCTGGGGTTAATTTAAAAATCATCAGTCATTACATGTTTTGTTCAGCCAATCAGCTCAGACTCTATTGTCTACGATCCTCTCAGCACTGTCTGCAGCACATGTAGCAGAGTACATATCACAGCAGAGCAGATGGTGGTGCAGAGTCAAGTTCTGTCTTCATGGTAAGTTGCAAACTAGTTTGTGAAAAACATTACTGGAAAGTTCATAAAAAATGACCATTCAACCTTTTATTATAACTCTAAAATACAAAAGAGTATATGTTGATATATCAATATACATCATTTTTTTGCTTCCTAAAACTGGCTAATGGCCCAGGAATCCAGTATTGGTCAGACTCTACTCTTACGTTGTTGGAAACTCAGCGGTGGATTCACCAGCTGGTTGCTCACGTACAGTGGGGTTTTTTAAAAAAGATTTTTTTAGTTGAAAACAGCTGCCCGCCATGTTTATGAAATGACGGTAGAGCGGTGAAAGTAAAACAAAAGTAAAGCTGCGGGCAGGAAAACTTAAACAAAGAGGTGAAAGAGGCTCTGAAGCTTTGTAGTTCTCTGGGATCGTCAGTGCAAGTGACACGTTTATGTACAGGCAGTCACGTGAACTGTAAAACATTATTATAATTATCATATTGATCGACCTAAAGGAAGCAAAACATTCAAACTGACCATGTGGTTAAGAGTACATTTTGTTAATTATCCTCACTTAATTACAACCCAGGAAGTTTCCAGAGAGACTTTTTTAAAAACCTTTTTGTGAAGATATTTAATTTCCAAAGCTTGAATAAATGAATGATGCTAAAATTCAGATATAGATGAGCATTTTACATGGGTGGGCTACTGCTAATCTACTGGATTGTTGATATTATGCTACTTATTAGGTATCATAAAGCACATTTAGTGGTAAGATTTATTGTACGTCTCTTTGTCTTTTGCATTGTGTACTTGGAACAGTGTTGTGTGGATTTGTCCTAACTAATTTGATTGTTTCCCATTAGCAAGTGGAGAGCTAGTACACCCTGAGGAAATATTAGCAGAATGTGACAGAGTATTTAGAATGGCATACTCTCTCTTTAAGTGGAAAAAGACTATCTATATTATATGAATATAATACCTAATGTTAGTCCATTCAGTCAATAATTATGGTGCCCATTTAGGGCTATTTATGCAGCGAGGTGCATGAGAACTAGTCACGTAGCGACAACAATCTATAGAGACTTTCAGCACATACAGATAAAAAGATAAAACAACATAAACACTATACAGAACAATGAAGGGTACTGTGGGTAATACAGCATGAAGGATTACAGTTCCACATGGAGGAGGACAGTTCATCATTGCACCTAGTCAAGAGTTAAGACAGTGCAGACAAACACAAGCTGTGTCAGTAACAGCCATCCTGTGTGTTCATGAGCCGCTTCACGCATTAGTATTATTATCCTTCGCTCATGCTGTACCCTGGAGTCATGCAAATGTGCCTGCTGAAAACAGTGCAGTGAAAAGTAATACTGTGGGCTCACTTGTCTCGTGTCATGATAGACTGTGACTGGCTCAACTGTCCAGAAAAGAGGCCCATTCATTTGGTAAATGACATGCCCCCGGGTTGAAAATGGCCCTGAAAATCTGGCTGCTTTTCATATAGTGGAGAAACAAGGCCGAGGCCGACTGAGAAGCTCTGCACTGTGCCCGGCCGCCGCCGCTCCTCTGCCTCCGACTGCCACTGATTCACATAAGCAGCCTATTGTGACAACAGCCACATGATATTACAGCGCCCTGAGTGATTATTAGACACGGTGCATGCATACATCCCCGCTACAGTTGCATGTAAACACAGCGTTTGGAAAACAAAGTGACCTGAATGTTCAGTCGAATTATAAACAACGAGAGCCAGTGTCATGCGAGAAATTCCTAGAAAAATGGGTGAAAATATTCCAGCGAGCTTCGCCTCTGTCTCCAAATTAATGGTGTCTAAGCCAAAACTGCAGCATGAGACATCAACCGCAGAGGCTTGAAAAGGAGAGTGTGGTGTCACATTTCTCAGGCGCTGAGCATCTCGTAGGCAGACAAAAGATCCACGTGCCCTCGGGGCTGAGAGGGTTTTAATGAGTGTTTTTACAGTTCCTCTTGTCTCGCTCATTCAGGCAACAAGACCTGGGTCACAAAGTATCAGCCAGCAATTTGCTTTATCCTGCTCTGAGATGTTGTTTGTAGGTCTTGTGTCAGGAGTCTGAGAAGGTGGCGACAATTACAAAGACTGTAAATGTCGTTTTCTATGGCTGACAGCTTCTTTGATACTCAGATTTAAGTTTGTGTGTTTTTGTGTACAGTTCAGGAGGTTAGTCAGAAAGCATACATCACAGAATACCACATCTGGACGGATGTGGGAAAGCAGCAATTTGGGCAAACATGGCCCCATAAAAACTAAACTGTCTCAAAAAAATTATACTTTTACAACCAATTTCAGGCTTTCATTTCAAAAAGATGTATCCCAAGTTAAAAACAAGAACTTCAGACCCAATGTGGACTTGCTAAACTTGTCAATCATCCCATCAATCAGTGCCACAACTTCATTTAAATCAAATGTCACTGTAAGATGTTCGCTCGGCAGAGAATTTCCTGTCATAAACATCACTGACCATGTCATGAAAGAACTGAGTGAGTTTTCTAGAGATCATGTGAGAACATGCAGCGACTTGTTTAAGCGATTGCTGCTCAATGAAAGTCTTCATTAAGTGACTAAAACAGCAGTTAGAACCACAGAGGAGGGTTAAAAAGCAAACACCACGTTGTCTTGTGGAACAATGCTGTATAAAATGAAATTACTTCCAGTTAATCTACAGAAAACTACCAGCTCCAGCCATAGGAGCACATTCCAGCGCAAACATAAAAATACACTCACCACAGACAGGCATGCGGCCGCCAACAACAGCTCTCCAGAAGTTGCTCTTTACTTCCACCACAGTTCTGTGAGTGAAAGGCTCCGTTTTGAAAGTTAACTCAGCTTAGAGAGAGAGTGGAGGACAATACATCCTGAAGTGAAGGGGAGGGGTGTCCTGCTCGCATAAATTAGAGGGAGTTTGGCTGAGGGGAGATTGGGGGAGTTGCAACCACATATGACGCTGGTGCTGCTGGGTGGGGCAGTCGAGTCTCCAGCTGCAGCCCACAGGGACCGGCTGACTCACATGTTCAAATAAACCACCACCTCTTACTGTATGAAAGTGTGCCTGCGTGTTTATGTCTGGTCTGTATGGAGTGCACTATAAAAGATTAACGTTTAAAAGTTTTTCACTGCTATTTGTTTTAACAGTTTACTTATTTTACAGAGTTTCTCTGCTCTGTTAAATTCCAGAT